TGCAGAAGAGAGTGAACCAAATGATGTACCCACTAAGTTGGATATAGAGAAGGCACGCGTGGTAATAATCTACCACGTTGCCGAACTTGAAAGAGAAGACACTCTACCTGACGATGAACCCATCCCTAAACGAAAATACTGGATGCAGCTACATGGCTTGTAACTGTATTTTGGTTTCAAACATCATGAAGCTCCATGTTTGTATTGCTAACAGAAATCTTAAAACTATGCTTGTACTGCTGACAAACGTGACCAAGTATATGTGTGTACTGCTAACAGATATCTTCAGGCTCTGTGTTTGTACTGCCAATTGCTAACAAACGTGATCAAGTTCTCTGTTTGAACTGCCTGCTTACATATATCTCCAGGCTCTATGTTTGTATTGCTCACAGAGATCAATCCATCTTCAGGCTCCATGTTTGTAGGTTGTGATACAAGCTCTAACTAACAGGCGTGATTCAAGCGCTATGCTGTACAGGCTGACAGGTGTGATCAAGCTTTATGTTTGTACTGCTAGCAGGTGTGATCAAGCTCCGTGTTTGTACTGTTAACAGGCGTGACCAAGCTCCATGTTTGTACTGCTAACAGGCGTGACCGAGCGACATGTTTGTACTGCTAACAGGCGTGATCAAGCTCTGTATTGGTACTGCTAACTTTAAACTCTAGGTGTGTACTGGTAACAAACAAGTTTGTTCTCTTTCTTTCTCTTTTCAGTCAAAACTATGCACATTTGAAAAAGAAATGTTCTACCAAGGTAACGTTTGTAATTTTTAAAGTTTGTAATATTTGTGTTTGTATTTTGGTAATATTTGTGTTTTTATAATTAGTATTGCTTATATTTGTACTGTTGGCAATGTTTGTGTTTGTATTATTGCCAACATTTTGATGCTTGTTAATCTGATTTCAACTGTTTTTACCTAAAGACTAAACTGTAATTGTACAGAGCAATTTTACACAATATATTTCTATCAACCGCGTTTTTAAAACGCGAATTTATTGTAAAATGTTCTTAGAGTAACTGTTGTAACTTACAACAGTAGGAGCCTCATAACTTCCCTAATAGGTCATGACCTAATTAATGTAAATCTGGCTCTGCTCTCGTGTCCTCTCTTTGCCTCCTTTACTTTCTCTATGTCTCCCTCACTCCCTTCTCTCTTATTCCCGTTCTTTCTTTTCCCCTCCTTAAAACACACCCTTCCCCCTCCCCGTTTCTCTCTCTCTCTCTCTCTCTCTCTCTCTCTCTCTCTCTCTCTCTCTCTCTCTCTCTTCTCTCTCTCACTTCTAATGTTCTGTTTTTGAGAATACGTTAGTACCAACAGCCATAGTGTGCAGATGACGGTGGAACGGTGGCACCAAGAAAAGCCTAAATTAAATGAAGGTCAACTTTCTTTACGCATTAGAAGGAGCACATGGAAGATCATTAGACAACCTTCCTCTCGGGTCCCTCTCAACTGGATAGAGTAACTGCAGGAACAGAAGAACTATTTAGTGCCCTTTCACACTCCTAGTTAATGGCAAATATACATATCTTCCTAGCTGGATTACGTCGTCAGGGTGAATGAAACGGTGCGAGCTGAATGGAACTGTGCGAGCTGAATGGAACTGTGCGAGCTGAATGGAACTGTGCGAGCTGAATGGAACGGTGCGAGCTGAATGGAACGGTGCGAGCTGAATGGAACGGTGCGAGCTGAATGGAACGGTGCGAGCTGAATGGAACTGTGCGAGCTGAATGGAACTGTGCGAGCTGAATGGAACTGTGCGAGCTGAATGGAACTGTGCGAGCTGAATGGAACTGTGCGAGCTGAATGGAACTGTGCGAGCTGCTTTGAACTGTGCGAGCTCTGCCATGTGCGAGCTGGAATGTGGAACACTGTGCGAGCTGAATGGAACTGTGCTAGCTGAATGGAACGGTGCGAGCTGAATGGAACGGTGCGAGCTGAATGGAACTGTGCGAGCTGAATGGAACGGTGCGAGCTGAATGGAACTGTGCTAGCTGAATGGAACTGTGCGAGCTGAATGGAACTGTGTGAGCTGACTGGAACGGTGCGAGCTGAATGGAACGGTGCGAGCTGAATGGAACTGTGCGAGCTGAATGGAACTGTGCGAGCTGAATGGTTATAAGCCCAATCTCTGCTTATTATCCCTAAGAGAACTTGGCTCTCGTTACAGAACGTCAGACTCATCACGGTGTGCCTTAAATAAACTTTGTCACTACCAGATCTACCGCCTCAGAACTTTCCTACTCAAGATGTCACTTATTTCCTGTGATCATCTTCGTGCTGGTTGGCCCTTGCACCTCTTTTTTTTTTTTGCCACAATGCATTTTGCTGTTACTTTTTCGCTCTGCCATGGCGCTTGATATGGACAAGCAGCTATTTCATTGTAAAAAAGGAGTTGTGAATATTTGGAATGCGTTTGCGAACTGAATTTTTACTGATAATGTTTGTGGTCTTTGTTTTGCTTTAGTGTCTGTGTGTGCTTCCCTCTTTATGTCTGTTGTCCTACCCCTCTACTTCGTATTCGTTTCACCTTAACATAAGCTCTGCTGCTGTTGCTACTACCGATACTACTACTCTAATTAATTTCTCCTACTCATCTGCTGCTGCTGTTACTACTACTACTATAACTACTACAACAATTACTACTGCATCTCCTGCTGCTGTTGATAATACTACTGCAACTACTGCAACAATTACTACTACTGCTACGTCTTCTGCTACTGCTGCTGCTGCTACTACTACTGCAGTTTATTCTGCAGCTGATACTACAAACACAACAACCACCACCACCACCACTACTACTACCACGCCACCACAACTACTACTACAGTCATCAGTATTCTACTTTTATCAATATCATTATTATGGTTATTCTTTTACAACTCATTTGTCCCATATAATCCGCCATCTCGACTAATCTTTCTCCATGTCTATTCCATTCCTACTCAGATCTGCTCTATTCTCTATCAATCATGATCTATTTTTGTTTCTAGCAATACTGCCTGTTGTATCTATGTACTTTGCCCCATGTTTGTATCATGGCGGTCTTCAAACTATATTTGTTCTGATAGCAATTTTTGTGGGCAGTCGAAGAGTTGTCAATAACAGAACTTCTAGACTGCACACTTCCGCACTTGTCAGAATCAAGTGATAGCTAACAACATTCATTACAGCATGGGTAAACAGGTAACTTCCGGTCGGCCTCCGTTTTGTTTTTGGTTGACCATGAACTTATGAAAGTCGTGAAATCATAACTATTCCTGGCATCTTAAAAAAAAGTAGTTTGCTGTTGCTTTTAAGCATTTAAAAATTATAAGCCAGAATAATGTATAAATATAAACATGTTACAATCAAAATTCCTATCAAAACATTTCCCGCATTAAAAGAATCTAAAACTATGACATCCTAATCATGTCTACAGTTGTAACAATAAGTGGGTGTTTTATTAATGAGCTGATTCCTAAATTTGTATAAAACAGGACAATTGGCGGTTTTGTGAAGTACCCATGAATGGCCGGGACGTACCTTAAAACGCAACGGCATGTGTGACCACTCTAGTCATTCTTCTTCTTCTTCTTTCGTTCGCCTGAAATAAGTTGTCTATATCAGCAGTTTTGTCTCTTGTATAAATTTCACTGTCGTTGTTAGTTCATTCAGTGGTCCATAGAGTTTACGTTCCACTGTTGTTCTTTCTGGCCAAATGGTTTGCCCTAATGTGTCAAATTCGGTGCAGTCCTGGAGTACATGCTCCGCTGTCTGGGGCACATTTCCACAGGTGCACATGGCTGATACACCTATCTTGAATTTTGTGTACATTTGGTTACGTAATCGGTTGTGCCCTGTTCTGAGGCGGAGGATAATAACTTGTTCTGATCTGTCCATAATACAATAATCGTCTTGTGCTTTGGCTGGTGGTTTCCTAAACGATTTAATGATTCTTTTCTTTTAGTGGTATGTGACTGGTACATCCGGCTGCACTTTTGTCGCACCTTCCTCTGCTAGTTGATCAGCTTTCTCATTTCCAGGCACTCCATGCCATGGAAACTCTAGTCATGATATTGATGAATTCACTTCAGGGCTGAATCCTGCTTACAAAACACACTGTGACTAGAGGGGTCAACAGAGGCAATGGAAAAGGCGTCTACAGATACAGGCGAACTTTTCTGAAGCGCGTCCAGAGTTACAGTTGCAATTTCTGCAGCGGCCCTCTCTTTCAGGTGCTGGATAGTTACTTATCTTCTCAGTGTGGTAGTAAGCCTCACGTTCACACAAGGTCACACGAGAACTTTAATCTTTTCTGGACATTTTAAGACCCTTGAAGAGTTTATCAATGTAATACTTCTTATATATATATATATATATATATATATATATATATATATATATATATATATATATATATATATATATATATATATATTTATAGTGTGTGTTTGTAACGTCTCACTACACTTCATTTGTAGAACAATATTTTTTTTTTTAAGTACAGAAGGTCATAAATATATGTGCGCCACAGTCAACCGTGAAGCAATATGCAGTGAATGGCTGTCCCTGCTGGAGTAATTCTTTACAACTCAAAAAAAGAATGGTTTTGTCACTGGAAGAATATATTTTCTTGGTTGAACAAATCGCATAATGTTTCAGATTTCAAACAAAACGGTTTCTAACGATTTTCAAGAACGAATTTAGTTCTGAAACCGTACTTTCATTGTAACCATAATAATAAACCACATTAGCGGCAACGCCACATAAATTTTGAACCAGCATTGTATAAGTAGTAATTTTCCGTAAAGAACAGTATGTGGATGCTAATTGTAACTAATATAAAAAGGTCCTGTTACAGTAGTCAAAAATAACGTCACCATCGCTTTTCGTATAAATTTAGTTCTGTTATTTTCATGCAGGTTTTTTTCCCTCTCCATTTGCTGAAGTATGTACACAATATTTTAAACAGTATATGAGTGACATATCATTTACAATTATTCATTATTGCTTGGCATATTTAATAACTGTATGGAGCTTTGATTTGTCAGTTATTGCATTTTAAACTTGGTTAGATCTTACTGATGTCATATGTATACATACAAATATTACGGTGCTTCGTTTGTGTCACCTTTCACATTACTATGTCATTTGTGTTCAATTTTTAGCTTACATGAAAGTTTCATAATCTATGCATGATATTAACTAGTTTTTAAAAGGTGTAGAAAATTATAGGTAAGAAAAAAAGTTGGTAAGAAACAACAAACAGTTTATGTTAGCTTTACAAAATGATATTAACTAGGGCGCCGCCACAAAGAAAAGATGGTGTTGGGTGGATTTGAGCCGCCCCCACCCATTATGTAAATTAACTAGGGACAGAAGACAGAGACATGTAAGGTATTATTCTAGTTTAAGAGCATTATAATAATCATGTGCCTAATGACAGTATATAATTATATTTTGAAGACATTGTCACAGACGGTCGCTGAGTCCTCCCACAGAATCAGTAGGGTGTGGGATCAAGAGGTCTTGTTGTGGCGCAAATGGATTGTCAAGAGTTAATTTTCTCTTGTTGTTTTTGTTTTAAAAACAAAACATGATGGACGCCGACTGTTTCAGATCTCAGTGACAAGAGCCAACAATCTGCAATCTTCTTCTTCTTCTTTTTTCTACTCCTGGAATGCGGTGTCAGGACAGGAAGAGTTCTATAGAACGGGCCCTTACCACTGTATCTGTATAACATTGCTGTCTGTGGTGCCCTGTTTGCTGCCAGTCTTGTTACATGGCCAAACCATTTGACGTGTTATCTACTTATAAAGTTCAGTAATCTGTGATGTAGGATTTAATTTCAAAGAAAGACAGATAGGCTGGTTCCCCACCAATGTCTGATGACGATAGGCACGATAAGCTAAATGACGTTGAGGCCCTCTAGGAGCAAGTGAAAACTGCTAAGACACGAATCTGACGCTGTTGGCGGAGCCGGACTTTTCTTTAAAAATTACCTTGGCTCCCAAGTCGACCCAGCCTTGAGTGGGTACCGGGTACAGTCCCGGGAAGTAGAGGCGGTCGGCGTGATGCTGACCACATCAACCGTCTTGTGCCGTTGGTCTATAAAAAATATAGGTCTAGCCCTATATGCCCTAAACGCCTAAAGGCGTGGAAAGGGTCCTTTACTTTACTTTTTCTTATTTATGCCAGTATCGTATCGGGCTGACCACTCTAGACTCGTTCATATTTTTACAAATCACTCAGTACTCAGTGCGGGATGTGTTCAGAATCATGCTATGGCTACGTAGTTCTGTAAAAACACAAGCCTAATGGGAGCCTCAATGATGTAGCGGCTAGAAGCTCGCATGTGAAGCGATTGTCGTGGGCTCAAATAAAAAAAGGGACGCAGACTGCCCCCTCCCCCCCCCCTCCCTCCCAAAAAAAAAAAATGTCCTAAGCTCCCAGGACAACCCAGTATTAAATGTCTATCAGGTAAAGTCCTAGGAAATAAATGCGGCCTGCAGGATGTTGAAACCATCAATCACTTTGTGCCGACTGGTCTATAAAATTTAGGTCTAGCCCTATATGC